AGCATCGCAGCCGAAACGTCAAGCCATGAGTTCATAATGTAACTCATTAATAAACGTCGCGTTAAGACCCGTGTCTTCCTATTTTATGCCCACTGTATTCATTATAATTGTAATAATTCATCAGATCATGGCATAAGCGTTTCATCGCAAAGATTACATTTGGCGGATGATGTCAGCATCTGTATTAAATTACAGAGAAAAAATACCATTTAAATTCGTCCCTCGTTTCTTGAACGTCATATTTTCCGCGACGTTTTTCATCACAGTTCGTGGAAAACAGTAAACACATTTTAAGAGTATTTATATCTTTATATTTTATTTGTGTAACTATTTTCATTGACAGTTTTTTTCCTATATCACACTGAAAAGTGTAACTGTGCCCTCTTTCATTCGTTCGTTTCAGTCAAATGACGTGCACCTCTGGACAAATACTTCGCATAATTCGCAGACATAGCTCGCAGAATTGCTAAAATCAATGGGCGGGGCACATACTCGTAGCTCGGAGAGACTATGGCCGTTGGGGCCGAAAAGTGCACTCTTTATTTATCTATACTTGTCGGCCGTTTGGTGTAGTGGTTCAGAACGGACTACTATGCTTTTATGCGGACTATTTTTAAGAAAAGACTCAAGTCTCACTTAATCACGTTGCTACCTTAATTTCCCTACATCTCTATTCCTTTTAGCTTCTTAAAATTCCTATCTATTTTCTGTTGGCTATCTAGTTCTATCTTTGGTTCGTATCAAGAATTGTATGTGTATGTATATATTATATGTTATATGTATATGTATGTATATATTAATATATTTTATGTTATTTGTATGTATTATTTTGGGTTAAATTTTACGCTTTTGTTTATTATTATTTATTTCATTAGTGTCGACACCGCCTTCCCCTTCATCTGTTTTATGTAACTGTCCTCTCTATAGGTTGTCTGGAAGAGATCGCTTCATAGCGATAAGACCGCCTAATTGTACCTTATGTGTTCCTTTTCTTTCTGTTTCTTTTTACAATGTGGTGTGCAATAAAGAGTATTTATTATTATTATTCTCTTTATTAACTTTGGTTCTTAATTTTAAATNGTTAGGTTGTGGAAACATGTTGACATAACTGGTTCTATTTCAAATAAATGCCAGTCTGTTTGAAGCTATCTCCGTGTTTTAATAATAGCTTCAAAAACTAATAGTCCAGTCAATAAAGCATTATAGATGGAAAACTGTAGAACACAATTTCTGACTTCAGGACTTTATTTAGACTAATTAGGAGGTGAACATAGCAAAAGTCCCCGCCCTTAGCCCTTGAGCCGGCGGGGTGAGGGGGGTTTAAAGGTGCCACTTTTCGGTTTTTTGCTTAATCCTCGAAAACTATGCGTCCTAGTGACATGACTACTATGAACCAAAAAATGCATATTCAATTTGCTACAGGTGAAATAGTCAAGTTTTTCTATAAATTGTATAGTTTTCGCGGCATCTGCTCTAGAAGGTCTGTATTATTGGAAATTTTATTTTTGTCTTACATGTTCCCATCAGGAGAAAATCGACTAAATCAACATTGAGCAATCATTCTAGAGATGCGGGAGCATGTTAAGCCTAGTTCCAGGAAGGGGACTGCACCGTGCGTATATTTAGACAAACCAATTGGAGCCACTTTTGACTCCTTATCACTCAAAAACTACTGTGCATTAACACTTCATATTTGGCTCATCTGTTAAGACTTGCAAGATAAACATTAGCTTAAAATTTCATAAATCTACCTCAAACGGTTCTTTAGGTATTGACGTCCAAAAATCTACATGTCTGACCTATAGAGCGAATTCTAACCACTTCCAGATGACCTTGAAGGTTCAAATTTGGCATCCAGATAGGTAGTTGTGTAAATACAAAGGAACAAATAAAAAACCAGTAAATTTTAACATTTCACAGGTGATAGATAAATTTTAGTGTTCAAAATGTAGATTTTTGAACGTCAATACCTAAATAACCGTTTGAGGTATATTTATGAAATTTGAAGCTAATGTTTATCTTACAAGTCTCAACACATGAGCCAAATTTGAAGTGTTAATGCACAGTAGTTTTTGAGTGATGAGGAGTCAAAAGTGGCTCCAATTGGTTCGCCTAAATATACGCACGGTGCAGTCCCCTTCCTGGAACTAGGCTTAACATGCTCCCGCATGTCTAGAATGTTTGCTCAATGTTGATTTAGTCGATTTTCTCCTGATGGGAACATGTAAGGGGGCGTCCATAAATTACGTGAGACTTTTAGGGGGGGGAGGGGGTCAACGAAAACCTCACTAAATCTCACGTGGGGGAGAGGGGGGGTCTCGGAAAATATCANGATAATTATCCAATAATTATCTTGATAATTTCGAACCCTACTCCTGGCGCCTCAGAACAATAAGGAGAGCCGACCCCATATAATGGGAAAAAGGGATACCTTAGGTAAAACAAGAAGTAATATCTGTGTGTACTGTACTGTGTATGTAGTGCTGGGTGTCTTTCTTTACTATAATGTGTCTAGCTATTCACAAGAGCAGCGATCACAGAAATAGATAGTCCAGTCATTTAAGCTTAAATTAGGTAAGAATCTCGGAATTAGAGATACCCAGCTGTAAGTCTGTAAATACTTGTATATTGACACCCTAAAAGTTGTCTCANTTATTATTATTATTATTATTTCTCTTAAATATTTTTATCTCAGCTTTTAAGCTGGTGTTCCGGATAGCACGGGCCAAAGCCAAGTGATATCTGGTTAAAGCTAATAATTTCAATAGTGTAAAATTATTATGGGTCCGTGTTGATATTTCCAGTTTCAGGAACAGTTCTTCTTTGTACTGGTGGTGGGCGGATTTGGGTAATTTCTTCAACATGTAAAAACTTCCTAACTATCCTACATGTGTTGAGTATGACAGCTTTTTGCAATTGTATGTAAGTGTGTTTTGAGAGATTGAGTGTATCCAGAGATTGGTGTAATTGCTTAGGTATTATTCCGGTTGTAGACAAGACTATTAAGACTATAGTNTTATTATTATTATTATTATTATTATGCCGAGAGGTCCCGGGTTCGATTCCCGGCCGGGCAGAAATTGAAATGATGAATTTTAATTTCTGTGACGGGTCTGGGTGTGACTATGTATAATATGTATGTATTAAAAAAAAAAGTATATAAGTAGTATATCCGTTAAGCTAGCACCCATAACACAAGCATTAATGATAGATCGCCCGGTGCTTTGTCCTGCTGGAAGCTCTTCTGGAAGGACTGGTCTTTTGTTCTAAACGTCCTGCCAGAAGATTATCGCAAGTCCTGCCCGCAGTACGCAATTTGTACGTGTTTGCTTGCTGGTCCTTCCAGCAGTACGGTGACCTTCAAATTTGAACTCATCCTGACCAGAAGTAGTAAACACTTGGTTAGTGTTTATTAAATAAAAAGTCATGTCGTAGAATCATTTTGTTTAACCAGTATTTTACTTTTCTTAATATATTATAAACTTGTTTATCTTCTTTCAACTTAACTAATAGGAACTATAATAAGGAACTTTAAATTAATTACTTTGGTACGTCACTTTGTATTAGAAATTACACCTATCACTTACAAATACACTACAAATTAAAAACAAAAACAAGAAATAAATTATAAATGTTTGATTAGGCTGGAATACTTCACATTCATTATAATATTATCGCCAAAATGTTGCCGACTCCACGCCCGGCGCGTCAAAATGTGTCGCGCGAGCGCGAACGCGCTGCCCCCGTGTATACTCGTGCGCCATCGGGCTCCGACTAACGGTTAGTCGCGTTTTTCGATCTTGGGCACTATTGGGTGAAAGAGAGAGAAACACTCTATTTTTTCGTGTAAATTTGAAATTTGTACAATGTATACTTACGAAACTGTGATCTTTTAATTTTGCGTCCTACCGGAAGTACTTTAAGTCCTGCTGGCAGGACTCCGGGCGATCTATCAAGTTGCTTACTTTGGGGCTAGCTGGCGCTGTGTAAAATTGTCCAAAGATTTATTATTATTATTATTGTCCAAAGATTTATCATAAGTGCCACTTGTGGTCTAAACTGAATAACTATTTTTGATTTTGATTTTGATTTTGATTTTGATTTTGATTTTGATTTTGATTTTGATTTTTTTGATTTTATTATTTATTTATTACTTATAATAATACGTAATAAAATTAGATTGAGAACTACGAGATAGTTACAAGCACGACTTAATTTACGCTACAATATGTCCTTGTCCAAAATCCTCTAACTAAACTTTTAGGTATGTAAAAAAGTATACCTATCTAGTTAAGCTAATCAGTTATGAGCTTCTTCAATTTTCCATAACAACAAAACAAACCGACGAACAAAACTTTATTTTGAATGTCGCGTAGTTTTAAACACCTGTACAGATTTGGGTTAGCTGACATACTTGTGCTATGATCGTGGCTTATAAAATCAGCATAATATTTTACTGTTATAGCGGCGTGGAATCGCAGACATTATGTATTTGGCTATGTAAGCGCCATCTTTATGCTCTTGGGTGCTATAAGATATGATACCAGTCATATAACTCAAGTAGGGCCGTTATTATTATACTGTGGTAATTTTAATAACTTCTATAGACTATTACAAATTGTTGAAAAGTACAACATAAGGGCAAATCTCAGATATTGAAGAACTTTGAAAAACATAGTGCATTAGAATAATATCTCCGTAATGCCATTGGTAAAAGTTTTGAGCAGGCCTCCCACTAGGTGGACCGACGATCTGGTGAAGGTCGCGGGAGGTGCCTGGATGCGAGCGGAGCAGGACCGGTCTTTGTGGAAATCCTTGGGGGAGGCCTTTGCCAAGCAGTGGACGTCTTTCGGCTGAAACGAACGAACGAACGAATGCCATTGGTGACTGTCAAATATTTTAATCTAGCAGTTTACAAAGGAGAGTCAACACAGTCATATAACCTAAAAAACGAGTTGCCTTTAAGTAATTTGGCTATTAAATAATGATTATCTTCTTACCTAGCTTTTGTTGTGATGTTGATTGTTATATTGTAGATAACATATTTGCAATGTCAGTCCAGTTATATCTGTAACAAATTAATAAACGACATAAGTTTGCATAATTTTTGACATTTGATAAGTAAAAAGAAAACAAAAATCCTTCTGCTTTCACTAACCATGAGTTTAGATTTAGCTTAGGTGCACTCAGTAGCGACTGCATAAAAACCTCATTTCCATGTTTTGGTACTTTCCTTCCAAAAATAGATTTTCTGCTTTTTCCGACTACACTAAATAAAAACTATACGACCCGCTACTGCAGTATAATTAGTTTTCCCAGTATGTATTTGATCCGAGTATAGAAAATAATATAATACCAAGTTTTCCCTGTTATGTTCATAAACATTATTCCGTAGTATTTGTTTAATCTGCATAAATTCAAATGAAAATACTCATATTATATGTAATACCGGTTTCATAACATGCGGCGTTATATTTGACACTGTTTGCACAATTCGCAGTGCCAATATTGTATAAACCTATTGGAAATCAAATGTAAAATGGAATATATTCCCAGAATGTTTGCACATTTATTCATATTTCAAAGTGGCAAATCCGCGAAATACTCATATTTGATAGCTCTACCTAAATATTGGGGGTAATTTTTCCCAATTTCTGTATTTTTTGTAGCCAATTTTTGAATGAATTCTGTTATAGCATTTTGATATTTGATTTTGACCGTACTCCATTTTATGTCCATGAATTCCGAACAAGACACATTTGTGTATTTGTAAAAAGTGTCGCCTTTAAAACTCGACTTTTACTTCAGCTCGATCTGATTTATATAAGAGGTCTATTCAGGAAACCTGGAAGTATTCTAGCACTTATTTTCAATTTCATATCGAGCTCGCAGTATTGAATAGACTCGGAAGGAGCGCCGGTCCCCATAATTGAATGGACTTCTATTTAAATATGAATTCTATTAAAATTCAGCTGGAGACTTGACAAACTCGGAGTAAATTACGAGTAGGATGCAAATGATTCAGATATTTGCACATCTTTATGCAGTTTAATCGATAGTGACTTCTGTTGATTTATTGGTTTGTGTTATATTAGGAACATTGGTTATTTCAGTAATATTACCTACCGATAAAATTCCCCAATATTGTCACTTAAACAAACAATGACATACTGAAAAAGCTACCGATAAATCCCTAAAACTTGGAATTTTTTCTCAGGAATTAATTATTCTCTCGACTCTAGACATGCCAGATCGAGTCACCAAATGTAATAATTAAGGCTGAGTTGCACCATCTTACTTTAACTTTGACAAAAGTAAAAAATCTGTCAAACTCCATACAAAAATCACCGGTTATTGTTATTGCCACGGTTAAAATAAGGTGGTACAGCTGAGCCTTATGCCCGTTTTCACCATCAATCCCTAATTTTTAAGTGACCCCTATGTAAACAAAATTCATAAATTATGTGTCATCATAGGGGTCACTTAAAAATTAGGGATTGATGGTGAAAACGGACATTAGACTCATAAACAATCAACCGTTCCAACCCACTCCACATGTCACATTACTAAAACACTGTTCGTATTTGTAGGCCCTCTAAGTAGAAATACAAATTATCTTATACAAATATTTCCATTTTGACGCGATCGACTATCAAACTGATAACAAAAACAACATGTTATTAGATACCCAAATCAATTTGTTATTTAAAACGGTGTATCCAAATTTGAAAAGTATACAATGAGTTTATTGGGGCTTAAACGAAATTGGTTTGATTTTCCAGTTCAATTATTTAGCGAAATTGGAGCTTATTAGGAAAATTCCACATTTAGATTCGAATAAACGTTACACGAGTCTATTTGTATTTGATTCATTAACGTGCCACAAAGATACCTACTTGGTACTCATTATACACTCTGCTGGATAATTGGCAAAAACGTAAGCCGTGATTTCGTTACCTAGAAAATTTATGGTTATGTAATTCTGCTGAATATAAATTGTTTTTCTACTATTTATTAATATTCCTCTTTATACATGCGTGGGAGATCAGGTGCGATTGTGGTCAAATACTTAACTGCCTTGTTATGCATAAAAAAAAGATTATTTTATGGGACAGGACGACGGATCACCTGATAGTAAGTGATTACCGCCGCCCACAGACATCCTCAGCCCCGGAGGAGTTAGAGGTGCGTTAGCAGCCTTTGAGGTATGAGTACACTCTCTTCTTGAAAGTTTGTAGGTCGTATCGGTAAGGAAATACCACAGGCGACACAGTCCAATCCACAGTTTCTTTGGTTTGGTTACCGAAATAAACAAATAATTACATAATAAGGACCGCAGGACCGGTCTTAGTGGAAATCCTTTGGCCTTTGTCCTTTGTCACGTCATTCGGCTGAAACGAACGAAAGAACGAACATAATAAGAAAGTGTCCCTATTCGGAGTCGAATCTCAGAACCTTGCAAACAAGGCAAATTAATAGACATAGAAATCATTTTGTGTGAAGATAATTATGAGCTACAATGAAACGCTACTGAAATAGCTTCATGCAAACATCAATCGTGGATCAATATTGGACGATGAATCAACCATCAATCAAGCCATGATTGATGGAATTTGCATGACGTTTGCTTGGGCGGCTAATGACTACCTTGTTCCCATTTTGTATGGTTTAAAGAAAATATTGACGTCTTCTTCATCGAAAAGTTAAAGATTCTACGAACAAAAGGGCCGATTTTAAAATATGTAGTTAGATATTTCCTGATCCAAGGAAGGGTTAAGCGCATAATCTATCTAGATGAAACACACTGAAGTGGTGGTTTTCAAATATGCATAGCTTTCTGGTGAAATGTTATTGTCAATGTTAGCTTTATTCTACAGAAAAAGGTTTTTTATAAAATTATATTGAATGGGTTGGCTTTTAATAGAATAATCTCATTCGAATAGTTCAGACGCGATCATGATGAAGCGAATTGTCCCAGAAAACCTTTATTCACGCAAAAACTTGAAGGAATTCGGTTACAAGAATTCAGGGACAATTACGTAGGATGACCACTCCACTTCTCCCAAAGCAGCGAGGTTTGTAACCTACTCATTAAGGCTGGGTTGCACCATCTTACTTTAACTTTGACAAACGTCAAAAATTTCTCAATCTCCATACAAAAAGCACCGGTTAACGTTATAGTTACGGTCAAAGTTAGGTGGTGCAACTCAGCCTAACGTCTTTCTGAAGTACTTAAACCAATTGTGTAAAACTATTTCGTATCCTTTGCAAAGACGTCCAAACAACTTCACAACTTGTATCTAAGTCGAGCACTTGTTGAAACTTCAATTTATAAAGATGTTACAAAATAAACTATATGCGCTTTATATTGAGCTTATTTTAAAAACTTTAAGTTGATATTTCAGTTTACACAACACAGTTCAATAAATACTTTTACAAGTGTATTTTTATCGAATGGAAAAACTATTCGCTGAATCTGAATTGTTGCAAAAGTAACTTTTGATTTATTTTAAGTGTGTACAGAATAGGAACCGTCGACGACAGCATAAAGGTAGCAGAAAGGTGCTGGACACAGGCCGCTACCAACCGGGCAGCATGAAAAGCATTGAGGGAGGCCTATGTTTAGCAGTGGACGTCCTATGAGATGATGATGATGACAGAAGAGAAAAACTACTTGAAGTAAGTTCAATTCTTGATACGATCTGTTAGTTAAAAAAACATTTAACTTCAATATTCGCTGAAATGAACGAAAGAGCGGTTGGATGTTGTAAAATTGTCATAATTTACTTTTTAATTAAAATATTTAATAACGTCTTTTGTACCCTTTAATCAACCATAGAGGCATAATATTATGTTTTGACAAAGCACTAATTTCATAGCCCAGCAGCAATCCAAGATTTGCTACTTATTTACAAAGCTCCTAGTTTCGTATTATATCTAGTTTCAGAACTAGTCTTGAAATAGGTTAGTCCTGCTCTTGTAGAATACTATAATTCTGAATACAATGTAATATAATGACAGTCGTAACAATGTTTCATAAATTCAGGCTGCATTTCTGTCAAGAAGCAATCTGTAGTCTGTAGTTTTGTTGTAAAAAATAAATCCTCGCTAACCTGAATTATGATTTCGTGGAAGAGAGCACTTTATGGCGCCAATAATTTTTTTGCCCTAGAGCAGATCGCTACCTTATTTCATACAACCTCGCCATATGGGTTTTCCATTGCTTTTGGTTTTTGCTAGCGAGATCTTTTTGCGAAAGAATGCCGATATGTATTACATTAATACATTTGGATGAGTTTAAACATTTTAAGAGGGCAAGATTTTTGTCTTGTATATTGATTTTCTTCTGATCAATTTATGGCAAATGGGACTGAGTTTCTTCTGCAACTTTTTTTTAAGACCAGCTGATATGTTTTCTAATTTGTTGGACAAGTAAGCTGTATTTGGAACGTGTAATAAAAACTTAATTAATAAAGAACTTAATTCCAAAAAATGTAATGATAGAAAAATAACAACCTATAAAGGTTAAAAATACCGCTTTCCTACACACATTCGTCTCCTCTCACACTTGCTATCTCTAGTAGAAGAGCAACTTTTATCTCCACCCAAGTGCTCGATGTAGCCAAACTCCAAAGTGTTTTAGTATTATCTAATAACAACGTCTGAGACAGCTGCTGCCCTTCAGCTCCAGATAAAACGCCAAATAACTTTAAACTTCGGAGCAAGTTGAGTACTTGTTCAGTAAGACGGAGTACCGTTGACAGATGGCAACTTAAAATGCTCGCGCTGAATTTGTCTTTAAAACTTACCGAGTTATAAAGTTGACAACGTTCTTCTTAAATTGTCAATTTGATTGACGCTTAAGTTTTAGTTTTATACGTCTAGCACTTTACTCAGTCAGTACCTACCTTAAGGTTCGGACAAACCAACGCGATCACACTCGATCAACCGGCGTGCAGCGATGGCGATCAATGCATTTAGGTCTGGTCGCCATCGCTGCACACCGGCTGATCGCGGTGTGATCGCGTTAGTTTGGCCGAAGCCTTAGGTATGACAGCAGCACGAGAG